GTTGTATAATACATACAAACCTTCCTTAAGAATCACTCTCTCTATTAAAAAAACCGCATCAAAATCCGTTGCGTAGTTTTAAAGATCTAAGCATAAATAGCGACTTTGTGTTATACTATGTAGTGATAATTATTTCCGTTCGTGTCTGTATTTCATAACCTATTTTTTTGTAATCGCTTAAAAAACACTGAAAGCAGATCGACAGTCGATTAACCAATTATATAATTATATAGATATACAATCTGTAATGTCATGAAATACATCAAATGCGTTTAACCCAGATTTTTATATGTAATACGCGGTCACACGCCAATAGTCTCTCTTTATATTGTTTCTTTATGGTACAAGCCGGTAAACGAGCAGACGGATCACCTGATAGAAAGTAATCGGCGTCGCCCATGGGCACCTGGAACACTAGTGCGTTACTGGCCTTTTGGAGATTAGGAATTTGAGGATTGTTGGGAATTCAGAGATTGGGGAGAGTAACGAATGGAGTTTCTTGCTCGTTCCATTCCAATCTACATCTTGGAATGAGCACCTAGCTTTACCTAGCTTCGCTACAGACAGACAGACAGATTATTATTAATTGAAATAAATGCTTTTGAATTTAGGGAGAGGAGTAACCTAGGAGTCTCCGGTAACCTCCATTCACATAACAAAACATAACGCTTCGGCTATTTTACTATGGTTTTCTGCTCAGCCTTGGTATCACTCCGGTCGAGCTGGCCCCTTCCTCAATCTCCCCAACCCCCAACCGTGTCATGTCATACAATATCGAAAGATCATTACGAAAAAGTAGGACAAACTTATTTTTGTTTTTTTGTAAGTAATTATATTATTTGACTGCCTCGTTGGCCGAGTGGTCGCTAGTGTGACTCAGCGGCAAGGGGTTTCGAGTTCGAGTTCTGGGTCGGGCAAAGTATTATTGGGTGTTTTAATAAAAATTCGGGATTGTGCTCGGTATATGGCAATAGGCTCACCCTATATGGGACTCGTAACATAAATATTGAAAAGTGGGTGTTACATTGTACAGTGACAATAAATGCCGTAATGTGCACCTCTGCCCCCTACCCCTTCGGGGATAAAAGGCGTGACGTTATTAATTAATTATTTGTCTCGAATGCAATTATTTACGTGTGATAACAGTAGAGTAGAATACATGTGTCACCACCCCTACTCTTCCCGCGGGTGTCGCATACCCGACTAAGGGATTACACATTGACAGAGACTGGACAGCAGCGCTCACTGATGAACTTGAATCTTTAACTCGCCTACCAAAAGGTAATTTTGGCAAACTCGTCCTACGTAGAGGATGCTCGTAGTTCAGCAGTGGAGACCCAAACGTGCGACGCGCGCCTCAAAGAGCCATCAGACCACCACAGATGTCCAATAGGGCTGATGCCGATACGGAGCCGCGGAGAACTTAACGGGTTACCGGAGGCACGAAGTGTAGGAGTAGGAACGGGGTGGTTTTTAGTCAGTAAGAGTCTGACACTCCCTCTCACCTCACCCGGGCGGGAGCAGTCATTGGATGATCCCCTCCCCCCTCAAAAAAAGCGAAACAATATATATTTAAAAAAGCTATGATATAGAACGATTGTTTGTCCATTTATTGTATTATACTTGCCCACTTATTGTTTTAAAACTAGCTGTTGCCCGCTACCTTTTCCGCGTAGAATATGAATTATAGAACATGACTTTTTTATGATACAATTTTCCATAATAAAGTAGCCTATGCTACTTCTTAGCGCGTTACGTCTTACGTTGGCTACTAGCCTATAAAAATTCCCGTCAAAATCGGTCCAGCCATTGCAAAGATTAGCCAGTACAAATATAATATACTAGCTTCTGCCCGCAACTTCGTACGCGTAATCCCATTTTTTCCCGTCCCCGTTCGTGATTTTTGGTAAAAAGTAAAAAAAAGTATTGGTTAAAAAGTATCCTATGTCCGTCTCCTGGCTCTAAGCTACCTCCCTACCAATTTTCAGCCAAATCTATTCTGCCGTTCTTGAGTTATAAGTGGTGTAACTAACACGACTTTCTTTTATATATATAGATAAGACTAAATCTATAAAACCAATATCTTGCTTCTTAAAATGAAGAAACGACATTAAGCGCCGGTTTCACCACCTCTATCCTATAATATAAATCTTATATAAAGCGGAAGAGTTTGTTTTTTTGTTTGTTTGTTTGAACGCGCTAATCTCCGTAATTACAAGTCAGATTTGTATAAATCTTTTTTTTTTATTTTGATTAGATAATCAGGTATTTTTTTGTGGTAGGAATAATAAAGCATGCGAACATGGTGATTTTTTTATAGCATAAGCCGGTAAACGAGCAGACGGATCATCACCTGATGGTAAGCAATTGGCGCCGCCCATGGACACTCGAAACACCAAGGCGTTACAAGTGCGCTATCGGCCTTTTGGGAATTGGAAATTTGAGGATTGTGGAGGATTTGGGGATTTGAGAGACGAGGACTAGAGAGGGGGGCCTCCGGTAACCTCACTCACACGACATGAAACAACGCAAGCGTTGTTTCACGTCGGTTTTCTGCTCGGCCGTGGTATCACTCTGGTCGAGCCGACCTATTCGTGCCGAAGCATGGCTCTCCCACACTTTACGCATTTCATTATGAAACTTAATCATTGTAGAGAAAACTTATAAGAGCTAATACCAGATTAATATCAAAAACAAACAAACTTCAATATTTTCTATCTATATAAAGTTAAATTAAGTTAATTTTTGTTCTTTTTGTTGTTCTTCGTTTTTCGGAAACGGAATATGTAGTACCTATGTACCTCCAATTTATTTATATATGTGTTCTCCTGTGTACTGTCTGTGTGTTGTGCATAAATAGATAAATAAATAAATATAGATACAATTTCTAACATAAAGAATTCACAATGCAGTCACCGTTTTTCTATGAAAAGGAATGGCAATTATTTTATGAATAATTCAGGTTTCAGCAGTTGACTGACCGGTATATCGTGGGCAACAATTGAATTAAATATAACCAGCCCTGGAGTTCCCAAGGGGTGAATTTATTAGTTTCTACAGGGTTATAACAAAGGGTAGTTTATTGTTTTAGTTACCACATATTAAGCCGGTTGAAATAGACTTTTTATCTTTGTAATTAAACTAGGTAAATAAATTACAAAGACACTGAAAATGACGTAAATTTATATTATTATTATCTATATATCTAAAAATGAATGCCTTTTCCCTTGGTCATGGCATCACACGTGAATGGCTGTACCGATTTCAATAATTCTTTTTTTATTAGGAGAAGATTGGAGGAAGGTGACAGAAAAAATCCTCAAAATCTTACGGGAACGGGAGAAAATAGGACTTCTACCCGTGACTTCGTACGCACAAGCGTACAAGAAGCTAACAATGAACATACGCGCCCGGAGGCACCGTCTACTATCCGTGCCCGCAAGTCGTACCGTGGCCCGGGCATCGTCCCCATTCCTCGCATCCTGTTCGCGCTCAATATCGTGGAAGCCTACCCTGACTGTTGGGCTCGCTGCCATCGCAGCGGTAAGTCCCCTCTTTGAGGAGTGGCTTGAGAGACGCTACGGCGTCCTCACCTACCGCCTGACGCAGGTCCTCACCGGACATGGAAGTTTCGGGAGGTACCTGTGTCTGATGGGGCGGGAGGAAACGCCCGGGTGTCATCACTGCGAGGACCGCCCTGAGGACACGGTGGAACACACGGTGGGAGAATGCCCTTCGTGGGCTGAGCACCGCCGTGTCCTCAGGGAAGTGATCGGCGATGGCGACCTCTCGCGTCCGGGCCTAGTGCAGGCCATGATGCGGAGCGAGGGGGATTGGGATGCCGTCTCCTCCTTTTGCGAAGCAGTCATGCTAGCTAAGGAGGAGGCGGGACGCGTGAGGCAGCGAAGCGCTGCCTCCTCGCAACCCAGCCATCGCGAAGGACACACCGGGCGTCGGGGATCGCGGGACGATCTCCGGCCACCGTAAGCGCGGGCCTGCGGACGGCGAGCATGGGTGGCTCCCCGTCCGACCAGAAACAGACCCGAGCGTACGGCGCGTCGCGTTCCGCGCGCGCCTCAAAGAGCCATCAGACCACCACAGATGGGGCCCAATAGGGCCGATGCCGATTCGGAGTCGCGGAGAACCTAACGGGTAACCGGGGCTCCGGCTCGACGTGCAGGAGAAGGAACGGGGTGGTTTTTAGTCAGTAAGAGTCTGACACTCCCTCCCGCCTCACCCAGGCGGG